ATTTTATTATTTCCATTCTACGTGACTTTACCGAAAGAACCAAGAAGATGAATGCCTGCAGTCACGAAAGCTTTAAATTGGTGTGCCATCTGTTGAGGAAACGGGCGATTCGGAGCTTAAATTCAGGTGGAGCGCCCGGTGGAGATGACCTCTCAATTGAACTGCCGAGGGAATGGTGGCGTTTGTGTGCAGACTGCCCGATGTCAAATCATGACGACTGTCAGATCCGTAGGACAGGTTCCGCTGGATTCGAAGGATGCCCTGGTGGTCCCCATGTTTCAAAAGGGGGGACCGCACTGATTGCAACAACTGCCGGGGAATTTCCCTCCTTAGTGTGCCGGGAAAGGTTCTGGAACGGATCATTCAACATCGCCCCCTTGCTAGTCAAGCATGCCGAGGTGAGGCTTGCGGAGCCCCAACGTGGGTTCAAACCAGGGGCGGTCTTGCACAAACGCCAGATTTTTCCATCGTGGTGGCATCACAGTCACTCCGTGTCGAACTGTGGGTTGTTTCTGCTTTATTATTTCCACATTGTCGCGTTCAACATCTTGTCGCAGGAGGCACATTTGGCGGAGGATGTGGCATTGTGGCTTCGCTAACCGCTCTGCTGCTGCTGCTGCCGCTGCGAGGGAACAGCTTGGAAGGCGGAATTACAACCGACTCCGAACGCTCTTATCACGCACACCACATGCACGCACACACACGAAAAGATCCCACGTGTTGCCTTTGACAGACTGCTGGGGCAAGTGGTCTCTGGAAGCAAGCTATGAAGGCCGGTTTCCACGACCGGCCACCTCTGTCCAAGTGGCAGTGATTTCACCGCTTTGAGGCCACGAAAAATATCGAAGGCTCGCTGCTGGCAGGAGGTCATGGCATTAATTCTAGATTTGAAGCTTTCGTGACTGCAAGGATTCATATTCTTAGGTTTTTTTTCGGTAAAGTCACGTAGGTAAAACATTAAAAAAGTAAAATAAATTTTTATTTTATTTTACTTTTTTAATGTTTTATTTTACTTTTTTAATGTTTTACCTACGTGACTTTACCAAAAAAACCTAAGAATAGGAGGTCATGGGTCAGACCCAGGTGCAACGGGTTGACGGACTGAGATGATTGGCCGATGCACCCAGCCGTGCTCCCCCACTGCGCCACCTTGCTGTGTTTTAGTCACGGAGAGGGGAGACGTCGTCACGAAGAACGGAGTTGCTCTGATCATCATAATAATTGTCGTCTTTGGAACTGATTGGTCTCTACCAGGTGCAGCCTTCTTCGTAGCCTCGTCCCACCACCGGTGCTAGACCAGACGACGATGCCAAAAGGCGACCCCGACAAAGACAACTCCAGTATCAGAACACCGACAGCTCGGGTCGAGCACTTCCATGTACGGGATACCAGTTGTGTTTACACTGTGTAAGCAGGGTGACTCATTTGAGGCCGAGTCGACCTAGGGGAAGCCCAGCCGCCGATTCAGATAATCGTCGCTGGTGCGGGCACGGAGAGGGGCGTTCTGCAGGTCAGAACGCGTCTCCCGCTGCCTCTATTCTCTCACCACCACCACCACCATCATCATCTCTTACCCCACCACCACCACCATCATCATCTCTTACCCCACCACCACCACCATCATCATCTCTTACCCCACCACCACCACCATCATCATCTCTTACCCCACCACCATCATCATCTCTTACCCCACCACCACCATCATCATCTCTTACACCACCACCACCATCATCATCTCTTACCCCACCCACCACCACCATCTCTTACCCCCCCCCCCACCACCACCATCTCCTACTCCCCCCCACCACCATCATCTCTTACCCCCCCCCCCACACCACCACCAAGCTCCTATACGACAATAACAACAACAACAACAGCACACAAGAACCGTGATGCATCATTACGATCTAGACGGTGCTGTTTGTGGCTGGCCGCTGTTACGATTCGAGCCTTTGGTGGGTGGGGAGCGGGCGTTGGCGGGGGGGGGGCTACTGCTCTGGGCAATTGTCAAAGACAAAGATCCCCCGTGTAGCCTTCAACAGACTGTAGGGGCAAGTGCTGTCCGCAAGCGGCACCTATGAAGGCCGGCGCTGCACACGAAGGGGTGGGTGGCCAGTACCGCGCCCGGCCGCCTTTGTCTCCCCGTTGACGATGTTTACTACCCACCGCACCAGGTACCCGTTTGAGGCTGAGTCGACCTAGGGGAGGCCCAGTGATCGGTTCCGACAATCGTCACCGGTGGTGGCCGTGAGCGGCAATCGAACTCGGGTCACCTGGGTTCGTAGCGCAGCGTAGCGCTAACCACTACGCCACCACTCCCCGCTACGCACACCACAATGTTGACGCATACATGCAAATACAAGTCCACTGTATGAATAAAGTTACACGTGTACATGTAAGCATATACAAAGACTATAGACTACGTATGTACAATGCGATGAGCGTGTAAGACTCATGTCTTCACAATCGCTGTTGCGTTTCGTTTGTTGTCCTTCCAACGCACATCCGATTAGCACGGCTTTAGCTACGTACGGTGCGAAAGAAGTTCAACATAGACCTGCAGAGAGACCCATAGACTCACACAGAGACCCATAGACTCACACAGAGACCCATAGACTCACACAGACACCCATAGACTCACACAGACACCCATAGATTCACACAGAGACCCATCGACTCACACAGAGACCCATAGACTCACACAGAGACCCATAGACTCACATAGAGACCCATAGACTCACACAGAGACCCATAGACTCACACAGAGACCCATCGACTCACACAGAGACCCATAGACTCACACAGAGACCCATAGACTCACACAGACACCCATAACTCACACAGACACCCATAGACTCACACAGAGACCCATCGACTCACACAGAGACCCATAGACTCACACAGAGACCCATAGACTCACACAGAGACCCTAAACTCACACAGAGACCCATAGACTCACACAGAGACCCATCGACCTCGCACAGAGACCCATAGACTCACACAGAGACCATAGACTCACACAGAGACCTATAGACTCACACAGAGACCCATCGACTCACACAGAGACCCATATACTCACACAGAGACCCATAGACTCACACAAGACCATAGACTCACACAGAGACCCATAGACTCACACAGGTAACCATGACTCACATAAAGACCCATCGACTCACACAGAGACTCATAGACTTACACAGAGACTCATAGACTCACACAGAGACCCATAGACTCACACAGAGACCCATAGACTCACACAAAGACCCATAGACTCACACAGAGACACATAGTCTCACACAGAGACCAATAGACTCACGCAGAGACCCATAGACTCACACAGAGACCCATAGACTTACACAGAGACTCATAGACTCACACAGAGACCCATAGACTCACACAGAGACCCATAGACCCACACAGAGACCCGTAGTTTATTGTCCTTCCCCTACACCTCGATTGAAGAACGGTTTGGCTACGTACGGTGCGAAAGAAGTTCAACGTACATGCTGTGCACTCCCGCCGGAGCGGTGGCGCAATGGTTAGCGCACTGCGGCTGCGAACCGCACGACCCAAGTTGGTCTGTCCCCGTCACGTCGTACACCACCAGCACTTGACCGGCGTGGTGATGTATGGCCGAACAACAACAAAATATCAGCAAATTCTGACATTTGAGAGAGAGAGAGAGAGACCCCACACCTAAGCGCAGAGATAAAGCCCGCCCGTGTAGCCTTTGGCTGACAGCTGGGGCAAGTGCGGGTAGCCAGCGCCGACACGGCGACAGGTGAGCGGGGTGGCCAGCACCACACCGGGCCGCCTTTGTCTCCCGATGTTTACTTACTCATTTAAGGCCGAGTCGACCTAGGTGTGGGGGTGAGGGTGGGGGAGTGGGGTGGGGGGGGGTCTGTCTTGAACCCCAGGAGCGGTTCAAGACAGATCGATCATCGTCGTTATTGGGCCGTGAGCGGAGATCGAACTCGGGCCCATCGACTCTTCCTGCTGTCCGCTACCATTGCTGTTTGTTGTTGTTGTTGTTTATTGTTGTTGTTTTTTTATTATTGTTGTTGTTGTTGTTTTTTTATTGTTGTTGTTGTTGTGATCAGGCCACAGACGCCCGCGGGAGGTGATCGGGTGGGCAGAACGCCGAATCCGCGATGCAAAACAATGAAGCAGCCGACGTTTCGGTCAATGACCCTCCTCCCCCTCCTCCTTCTTTTCCCCCAAACGTCGCCTCTGTCACCGTCTCGTCCCTTGTGCCGCCCAGCGCGTTGCGAGCTTCACAAACACGCACTTGGGCGCGCGAGGGCGACGTTTCGGGCGCAGTGCCTATTCACAGCATACCCCAGGAGGATCGCCTATGACATGACCAGCACCGTCTTAGTCCCCTTAGTCCCCTGTCGTCATCATCATCATCATCGTCGTCGTCGTTATAATGGCCATTGATCGATCCACTGCTGGATGAAAGCATCCGCCCACCCATCATAACAGCCTGCCTCGAGCACGCCGCGAGACTCAATTCACCGCTCCGTCTCCCCCATCGTTGTACGCACTCAACGCATTGTCGGATGTTGTTGTTGTTGTTGTTGTCTATTACGCGTGCACCACCGACAACGCAGTCTCGCACCAATAACAACAACAACAACGACGACGACACAAGATCAACTGAAGACGCATCCGGACCTCGGAGTCTCCACGCGGAGAGGAGACAGCGATGGAGGTCGCCGGAGGGGCAATGACCTCACTCCTCACTACTCACCCCTCACTACTCACCCCTCACTACTCACCCCTCACCCCTCACTCCTTGCTCCTCACCCCTCCTCACCCCTCCTCACCCCTCACTACTCACCCCTCACTCCTCACCCCTCACTACTCACCCCTCACTCCTCACCCCTCACTACTCACCCCTCACTACTCACCCCTCACTCCTCACCCCTCACTACTCACCCCTCACTCCTCACCCCTCACTCCTCACCACTCCTCACTCCTAACCCCTCACCACTCACCTCTCGCGCTCGGGGTTTGGCGAGACGTGACGGGGTTCGCCCGCGTCCCAGTCGACTCTGGGAGCCTCCTTGCTCGCTGCCCCCACTCAACACCTGCCGCTGTGTGTGTGTCTCTGTGTGTGTGTCTCTGTGTGTGTCTCTGTGTGTGTGTGTGTCTCTGTGTGTGTGTGTCTCTGTGTGTGTGTCTTTGTGTGTGTGTGTGTATCTGTGTGTGTGTGTCTCTGTGTGTGTCTCTGTGTGTGTGTCTGTGTATCTCTCTGTGTCTGTGTGTCTCTGTGTGTCTCCGTGTGTGTGTCTCTGTGTGTGTGTCTCTGTATGTATCTCTGTGTCTCCCTCTGTGTGTGTTTCTCTGTGTGTCTCTGTATGCGTGTCTCTGTGTGTGTTTGTGTCTCCCTCCTCCCTTGCACCTGAACCAGACACCTCCTCCTCCCCCTTCAACACCGCCAACACCGCCGGCGCCACCGCTGCATCTTCTTGCCCCCCCTACTCTTTGTCCATCTCTGGCATCGCCTCCTCTTACCTGCATAAGCCTCACCCGCCTCTCCCTCCACCCACCATCATCTCTCCCTACCCCCATCCCTCCCTCTACCCCCCCCCCACACTCCCTCTAGCCCCCCCCCCTAAACCCCCCCCCCATCTCGCTCGCCATCTCCTCACATCCCTCCCTCTTCCCCCCCCTCATCCCTCCCCCCCTCCCTCTAGCCCCCCCCCACATCCCTCCTTCTCTACCCATCCCCGCCCCCGCATCTCTCCCTCCCTCTAGCCCCCCCCTCATCCCTCCCCCCCTCCCTCTAGCCCCCCCCCCCACTCCCTCTAGCTCCCCCCCACACTCCCTCTTGACCTCCCCCCAAACCCCCCCCCCCATCTCACTAGCCATCTCCTCACATCCCTCCCTCTTCCCCCCCCCTCATCCCTCCCCCCCTCCCTCTACCCCCCCCCCCACATCCCTCCTTCTCTACCCATCCCCGCCCCCGCATCTCTCCCTCCCTCTAGCCCCCCCCCTCATCCCTCCCCCTCCCTCTAGCCCCCCCCCCCTCCTCAACCCTCTTATTTACCCCCCCCCACATCCCGCCCTCTCTTTCACCCCCACCTCCCCCCAGATCTCCCTCCCTCCACCCTCCCCTTGCTCCCTCTCCCTCCCCGCCTCTATCAGCGCAATCATCGTCTGCGTGCAGTGCGCAGTAGCACGCGCAAGCACCAAGTGGCGGTGACATCACCACGGCGCTTGTGTATGCACGTGTATGTACGTGTATGTATGTACGTGTGTGTATGTATGTGTGTGTATTTACGTGTGTGTATGTATGTGTGTGTATTTACGTGTGTGTATGTACGTGTGTGTATGTACGTGTGTGTATGTACGTGTGTGTACGTGTGTGTATGTACGTGTGTGTATGTACGTGTATGTATGTACGTGTGTGTATGTACGTGTGTGTATGTACGTGTGTGTATGTACGTGTTTGTATGCACGTGTGTGTATGTACGTGTGTGTATGTACGTGTGTGTATGCACGTGTGTGTATGTACGTGTGTGTATGTACGGCATGTCGAACACTCTTTGGCACCGTACGTAGCCAAACGCGCTGTGTTGGAGGTGGCAGGCTAGGCGCACCTCGAGCCCGTCACGTGAAGTGACTCAGGCTCGCTGTTGGCAGGAAGCCACGGGACCGACCCAGGTGCCACGCAGCGACTGACCGAGATGACTGACAGAGGACGCTACCTATGGCGCTCCCTACTGCGCCAGCTCGCTGCATTTTATCCGCCCGGCGCTCCGCTCGTTGTTGTGAGCGTCGCTCCTCCGCCCTCCGTTGTTGCTGAAAGGCGACTGCCTCCAACTGCCCGGTAGCAGCGTCCTTCACTAGCCAACTTCACTTAGGCCGATCTTGACACCACTGGTACACGTCATCGGTACGTCCGCTCAGCTCCACATCTTCTTGTACCACATCACCCCATCTCTTCTCCAGCCCATGTCGTGCCCGTTTAGCCCGCTCTATGCGATCAAACAGAAAGCTGATTGGGCATGCGGTGGCTGTGCATGCGGGCTATACGACCCAGCCAACGCAGCCTCGCTTGCCGGAGGAGCTCACCGATGGGAATGTGTCCAGACCTTTCAAGGATTTGTGAGCTCCTCACACAATCCAGCCTGGTTAAACCCATGATGGATCGTAGGCAGGCCAGCCTAAATGTTTCTTACCGGCGCAAATGTTCTATTCGAGGGCTCCACGTTTCACAAGCATAGAGAAGGGAGGGCATGACTGTGGCAGAAAAGATCCGAAGCTTCGTATGGAGCGACAGACCAGGTAGCTTCCACACAGCAGCATTACACAGCCGATGAAAATATAATGCCGCCTGACTGATTCGGAGTGAGACCTCTGCTGTCAACCCGGAGCTGGTCATGGGCACACTGCCCAGCTATAGGAAACTCTCCACTCCACAACTGCTCCATCACCAATGGGGAGCTGAGGGGGGGGGGAGTGTTTTCGGGCACACTCCCTGCTCGATATTTTGAATACCTGTGTGTATGTGTTCGAGCATGGCTCAGCCATGATATTTTAACACTAACTTTTAAATCTTCTTGGTTCTTTCGGTAAAGTCACGTAGAAGGGAAATATTAAAACAATAAAAATAAAACATAATAAAATAATTCTGACGACGTTTCGGCCACAACGCAAGCAACCGTCCTCAGGTGAAGAACAGGTCTGAATGTGCCCATTCAGACGCTGTCTTTCCGACAGACCTGTTCTTCACCCGAGGACGGCTGCTTGCGTTGTGGCCGAAACGTCGTGAGAATTATTTTATTATGTTTATTTTATTTTATTATTTCCCTTCTACGTGACTTTACCGAAAGAACCAAGTAGACGAATGCCTGCAGTCACGAAAGCTTTAAATCGAAACTTTTAAATCGTTTAAGTCAGCGGTCCCCAATCTTCATGGCACCAGACTCTCACCTGGTTCAGACTCTCACCTGGTTCAGACTCTCACCTGGTTCAGGCCCTCACCTATCCAGACTCTCACCTGTTCAGCCTCTCACCTGGTTCAGACTCTCACCTGGTTCAGGCCCTCACCTATCCAGACTCTCACCTGGTTCAGACTCTCACCTGGTTCAGACTCTCACCTGGTTCAGGCCCTCACCTATCCAGACTCTCACCTGTCCAGTCTCTCACCTGTTCAGTCTCTCACCTGGTTCAGACTCTCACCTGTCAAGACTATCACCTGTCCAGTCTCTCACCTGTTCAGTCTCTCATCTGTCCAGTCTCTCACCTGGTTCAGACTCTCACCTGTCCAATCTCTCATCTGTCCAGCATCTCACCTGGTTCAGGCCCTCACCTATCCAGGCACTCACCTATCCAAGATCTCACTTGGCCCAGGCTCTCACCTGGTTCATGCTCTCACATATCCAGGCTCTCACCTGTCCAGTCTCTTACCTGGTTCAGACTTTCACCTGTCCAGAATCTCACCTGGTTCAGGCCCTCACCTATCCAGGCACTCACCTATCCAATATCTCACTTGGCCCAGGCTCTCACCTGGTTCAGGCTCTCACATATCCAGGCTCTCACCTGCTTTCTCACCTGTTCTGGATCTCACCTGCTCAGTCCGAGCCTGAATTCGTGGAAATGTAATCGGTGTTTATTTATTGTTGCGGACTGGCGCCCCGCTAAGCACGCAATGTACAGGACTCGGAGTGCCACATACAAAGACAAAGATAAAGACAAAGGTCCCCGTATAGTCTTAGCAAACTGCTGGGGCAAGTGCTGTTAGCGAACACCTATGAAGGCCAGCACGGCACACGAGGGGGTGGGTGGCCAACACCACGCCCGGCCGTCTTTGTCTCCCTCGTGGCGATATCTTTCGGCATCGCACCAGGTACTCGTTTGAGTCGACCCTAAGCGGGACTCGAACTATTATAATATATATTGGGGGGGATGTGTGCCCCCCAATAAATATATTATAATTACAACCTTGGCTGACCGGGTCAACCGGCGTAAGGAGCGTTTCGACATCGCCATCTCATTACCCAGGGTGGCCGCATGCCACCCAGCCACGCGCTTCAGATGCTAATCTCGATTACAATGTTTGACTGCGTGGTTTGGTTTGTCAGCACCCGGTGTAGCAAACATCGCCACTGGGGAGACAAAGTCGGTGGGGGCGTAGTGTTGGCCACCCACCCCCTCGTGTGCCGTGCCGGCTTTCATAGTTGCCACGCGAACAGCACTTGGCCCCAACAGTCTGTGGAGGCTGTACGGGGGATCTTTGTCTTTGTGTGCGGTAATGAAGCGGTTCACCAACTTGCCCAGGGAGTTCTGCGACGCGAGTTCTCATTTCCTGGTCACGACCGCGAACAGTGGCAAATATTTGTGTGAGTTACGCATCAGCACTGGGGGAAGACAAAGACGGCCCGGGCGTGGTGCTGGCCACCGACCCGCCCATTCGTGCACCGTGCCGGCCTTCAGAGGTGCTGCCGCTACTCGCTACGAACAGCACTTGCCCCAGCAGCCTGTTAAGGCTACACGGGGGAGACCTTTGTCTTTGTGGTGGCGTGGCAGCGTTGTGGTTAGCCCACTGCGGGGGTGGGGGGGGGCAATGGCGGGGGGGGGGGGGCAGAGGAGATGTTGTTGTTGTTCTTGTTGTTGTTGTTCTTGATGTTGTTGTTCTAAACGCAGCAATGCCTAGGGGCACTTTTCAAAGTGTACCCAATTAGCTGTTGTGCGTGCCTTAGGGTAGCGGTGTCGGAGGCTAGGCGATATGGGGAATCTTTGTCTTTGTGAGTGCTCCTAGGTCGACTCAGCCTCAAATTACTACCTGGTGCGGTATATAGTTAACATCGCCACTAGGGAGACAAAGGCGGCCGAGCGTAGAGCTGTACCGTGCCGGTCTTTATAGGTGCTGCTGCTACTAACAGCACTTGCCCCAAGAGTATAAGGCAATACGGGGATCTTGGTCTTTGTGTGTGTGTATGTACGTGTGTGTGTGTGGCAGAGGTCGCAAACGGGTTTTGATTCCTTACTCGTACCCGGCCGCACCAGGGTCGCAAACGGGTACCCGTACCCGGCCGTACCCGTACCCGGCCGGGTACGGGTAGGGTACGGGTATCGGGTACCTGATTGCGACCTCTGGGATGAAGCCATGTTGCAGGCGCGGGTGGGTTGAGTCTAGGAACTTGAATTGTGAGAAGAGACAAGACGTTGGGAAATGAGTGACAAACGGTGACTCACCAGTGACTCACGGTCTACCCGTACCCGGCCGCACCAGGGTCGCAAACGGGTACCCGTACCCGGCCGGGTACGGGTAGCCGGGTATCAGGTAGGGTACGGGTATCGGGTACCCGGTTGCTGGACTACATAGTGACGGAACAGCAGATGCTGGGCCCATGTCCTTGACACCAGGACCGACTGTGGAGCTGATCTGCCCACTGACCATTGGCTTGTCATCTATAAGATGCGCCTGACATTCTTCCACTCCGGTGGTGGGTGTACATCCAGGACCCCATTCA